CTAAAGCTTCTCACTTAATTAACCCGCGCCCTTCTCGGAAGGAGCATTTTGCTTAAACGGGTCTAAAGATCAGTCGGTTGTTAAGATTTTATTTGCATATCGTCATCTGACTTGAGCACTAGAGCGGAGAAAAATAAATGGGTTCTCCGTCTGAAGAGGCGAGATCGTGCAAAGGAGGTACTTTATTTATTTTTTATCAGCGCTGCTCGTTTGGCTCTTGCTGAAAAAAAACTCGTCTTTTATAACAGGTCTTATTAGTAAGAAGAGAATAAGTATTTTCAAATTGCTTTATTTCATTCTTGTTACAGCTGCAATTGGACTTTATTTTTATAAATGTTTTATTAGAGAACAAATTTTTTTTCATTTATTGCAGAGGAAAAACAATTTGAAAATCAGCTTCCAAATAGGAATTAAAAAAAAGCAGAAACAGTAAATTCAAATAATTACTTAATTCATAGAATTTCCAGCAAATTCTCCACAAATTTAAATAATAATTCTGCATTTAAACTGATCATTAAAATAATTTAAATCTGTGGTTTAAGAAAAATTGAGAAACTTAAGAGGAAGTAAATCAGAAGTAAATGACGTTCATCTAATTGAAATAAAGGTTATGTGAAATAAAGTCATTTTCTCCAGACAGAAAAAATATGATTATTACGTGAGTAACTTTTTTGTCCCAGTCTTGGAACAAGAAGGGAAGCGCCGTTTCACATTCAAATGGACTTGAGGCATGATTACCCTAAAGAGTGTGGCGGCTCTGAATTTATTTTCGCGAGCACCGGGACAATTCATGCACTGAATATAATGGCGGTGAACGTGAAGTGCTGCGGTCATAATGCAGTCGCTCTTCCCGCCCCGTTTTCCTCCTCAGCTAAAAGCCCAGCATTGTCCTACAGCCCAGCAGCAAATGCGAAACAACATGCATTAGAGCCGTGCATGTTAATTGAGACACTGCCGAGTTGCAGATTCGCCTCTTTTCCAGCCAGCCAATTAACTGAATGGACCGCCATGATCGAGAAATACACGGCGTAATTTAATTAATTGCGAAACGCCGATCGATGATGAGTTTATGTTTTGAGAGCCGAGTGGCCCTTTAATTAATTATTGCTCGCGACTAAAATCACGCGCAAATTTATTACCTTTTGCTGCTGCTGTCCGCTGATAAGGATTTGATTACCGGCACCGGACACTGATTTCATTGCGGTCAAATGAAAATGTTTGCCGCTGTCCAATCGGATTATGAAACACACCAGCAGCTTTTTAATTATTAACAAGTGGCGAGCTTTTGTCGCTAATGTATTCTGTCTGCTGAAAGTGCAAATTTAGACAGGCATAAATAGTTTGTAGCGATTAATTGAATTTTTGCTCTGTTCGCGCTAAATCATAACAAAAAATGTGCGATTTTTACTGTGAATAATTATTTTGCTAATATATGGTAGATTTGTAACCATTTGGACCAAAATTGCATAAATTTTTAAAATTAAAATTAAACAAAATTTAATTATAATTTTTTCGTTCTTATTTATTATGCAAGATTTGATGAAATTAATAATTATATAAATTTGAAATTATTTTGTTAATTTTTTTGTATAAATCACTTGTTTTTGGAAACGTTACATTAAATAATATATATTGTTAATATTTTTAATATTTAAATATAAACACTACATCTACCATAAATATATTATATTAAATATCCAAACTATCTACAATAAAATGTAGGAGAAAAAGCTTTGTAGAGCGTTTAGAAGTTGATTATTTTATATTGGCTCTTTAATTTCTATCCGCCAACAACAAAAAGAAAAAAAATACCAGAAACATTGCTTGTAAATTGCACACATAAAGCGTTTTGATTGCTAAAAAGAAGAATGATATTGATATTTTTCCAATTTTTTATTCCAGCTGAGCGTTTGAACGTTTAAAGCTACTATTTGGTAATTAAAATCGCCTCTTTAAAGGCCACAATTTTTTGTTCAAACGATTTGCAAAACAAAATATTAACACTTGGAAACATTTTATACCAGCATCGTGAGCCAACTGCAAAACAGCGGTATGAAAGGGTGCTTATTTCACCGAAAACAATTCAAACAAAATCCCGGTACGTGGAGCAAAATAAATAATACAAATGGTGCGCAAAAATCGTGGGCGACATGCAAATTTCCACAGAGAGATCGAAGAGAAGCGGCATCTGCTCGAATCGAAATTAAATTTTCAGTCCAATTAGCAGCGAAAGCAAGTCTGGTGGAAAAACAAACACCGACGGTGAACCGCGACGGGCGCGCGACGATCGGAATAAAAAGCAGTGGGCACATAAAAGAAACAGCACTTTGCGCGATTGAAACGGCACTTTGAAGGCAGGATCACGAAATAAAAACACCGTTACGCAGGCAGAGAGCAAAGCAGAAAAGAAGAAACTGATCTGCCTTCTTGCTTGTGCTCCCAATACTCAAGCACGCAAAATTGATGTCTCCGCATCGCAACAATATTTCCTCAGCTGACAGCAGCAATATTATTCCCAGCAAACCTAGTCACTATTCTTGCATTTGACGCCTTTAAACGATTTATTCATTTTCTCTACGATTGACTTTTGCGTAACAGAAACAAACAGGAAATAACAAGCCTAAATTTTTTTATTGCAAGGATTTTTTCAAAGTAAAACTCTGAGCTCTTTATAACATAAAATTAAATACCTGTTTATTTCTTCGTAAGCAACACAAAGGTTGTGGTGTTCAAATGCAAATTATATTCTACCAATTTTCCCCCTTAAAAGCTCTCAATAATAAATAAGAATCTTTATTTGTTATTTAAATAAATTTTTAGAAATTATTTATGTAATAATTTTAATTCATTTTGTTATTTTAAAATCTGAGTTGCACGTTTACCTCTAAACCAATTAAGTTTGAAGCGTGAAAGAAGCACCAATCAAGTAATTAATTTTCATTATCAAAAAATCGTTTGACTGTGACGGTCTGTGATAAGTTTTGTATTTTATTTCGTTGGAAAGCCACCCGAACATGAATATTTTGGTGGCACACGTTAAGACAGAGTCTTTTTTCTATTTGCATGCAGATGAAGAAGAGTGGCTGGCGCGGGTGAAAGAGATGAGATGCCAGCCGGCAGCGAGATTGCGGCGCTGTGAAGTTGATAATGGGGCGTGCTCGTTGGTTCGCTCGCCTGCCTCCCTCTCGCTCTGCTTGTGAGACGAAATCTCGTCGAAATGTGCGCCAAACATAATGGGAGCCGCAGTCGCCGCCGCCGACGTACGCACATTTATTTGCAAACAGAATGCCCCGGTGCTTTCGGCGATAATCAGCTCGGCGGCGAATATATGTGTTGCGGGAAAGTGACGAAGGCGCCTTCCTCTCTCATAGGCAGATTTTCTGCTTTGTTTTGCATGCAAAACTCCTAGATTTTTTTTGGTAATTTTCTCCTGTATTTTCTACTGTTGTTGCTTTAATGATTTTTTCTATCATAATTGATCAAAATGATTGATGTTATAGATATTTTAATTCAACAATTTCCTAAATTTAAAGTTACATTGGGTTCCCTTTAGATTCAAGAGAATTCATTATGATAAAATATTATTAGAATATAATTGTACAAGTGTTTATATTTTGCGTTGAAATTGTTTTATTAGGAATGTTTTTATTCAAATTATAAAGCATAAAACTTTTATCAAGAACAAATTGCTTTTATTTTTTAATATTTAATTAAAAAAAATGAAGTTCAAACATTAAAAATGTACTTATTACATAAAAAATTATAATTCAATTAAATCTGAATAACTTTAAATTTTTATTCAATATTTTGTAACACTTGAAAAATTTCTCTGGCTGATGATTGTTTATTATTTAAGTTAAAACTTAAAACATGAATTTTAGTTGTAATAGAGACCTGCAATTTTTATTCGCAAGGCCTGATTAACCATCATGGGACTGTGCATTTTGGCACACGTGTGCAGTTACTGAGCTGACGGGAAATTATACCAGTCTTAAAACTTTTATTGTTAGATATGCTTGTATGAATCACGAAACATTTTGCAAAGCCCCCCGGGCTTTGGCGTTAGGCACACAGAATTAAGCCATAAATAAATGCAGAACTTTTGAGAAACTCTCACGCCCGCGCGCTTTGAGCAGTGTGTGTCCGTGCGGCTGGCTGCTCACGATTCTAATGTACACAAAACTTGTGTGAAAGTTAATTTGAAAACGGCCCGCCTCTTGCACCTATTTACATTTTGCAAAATTAATAGCAATTATATGGAGACTAATTTGCCGCTTCAGGGGCTTAAGTTCGAGAATTATATTGTAAAACGCATCTTCATTTACAAAGTAGCAAAGACTGAAATAATAAATGCTAATAAATCAATTTAAAACACAGGAATAAGCTTTCTCAAAAGAAAATAGTTAATTAATTTTGTATTATAACATTGTCACAAAAAGGACAATTAAACGAATGAAGAGAATCTCTAGATCAGATTTCAGTGCTGCTTTATAGAGATCTTTTGGAAGGTAAATATTTTGGAAAAAAATGTTAAATGAAGCCCAATCAAATAAAATTTTTCAAACCAAAAATAAGTTTTTTGGTCGTTTTAAAGGGTAAATATTATTTAGAGCGCTTTTAATTAAAATTTTGGAAAAATATTTTCAGAGCGAATTATAACATACAAGGGCAAACAGTGACTTTCAGAAATATTTTTTATGTAAAAATACTTTTCTTTTTTAATCAAACTTTTACGATTCCTCATAAAATGAAGAAAGTAGTGCTGTTCTCCTTCAACTCGAAATCATCGTTGAAAATATTTATTCAAACTTCCCCTTTAAGGAGAGTTCTTTTATCAACTACAAACGCGTTTTGCGAGTTACCCTTTCTGCTCTCAGGGAAAAATAATTTTGGTGGTTGGCGCCGAGCACGTTTAGACGGAAAGTTTTTTCGCTTTTCCGCGGAGAAGGAGTCCCTCGGCAAAAATAAAGTGAAATGGAATTCGTGCATATGGTACTCACTCTTGATGCGTCTTCTGCACGTCAAACGTCCTGAAAGTCAGTTCGACGATCTGGTCTCTGCGGGCCACGAACGAGTAGAGCAGACACTCGATGTTGTTGTCGTAGGCGCGCGGAAAGTCGGGGCTTTTAAAAGTACCCGATGTCTTGCCAAAAGTGCTCGTGAAGTGGATGCACTCGCAGGCTGAAACAGAAAAATTGCACCATCAATATAAATACGGTGGAAAAAAGCAAATGAATGAAACGGCTGAATGAGGAGAGATAAATCGTGTGTGTGCCGTTTTTGCCAGAAACGCTCCAATGCGTCTCTCATCCGTCCGATCTTTTATTTGCGCCGACTCCAGTGACGCGAGCGTGGTCCACCCAAACTCCAGAGTTTTGCTTTGAAAGGAAGTGGACGTTTTTTATACAGGTGGTTTTTATTGCGCTTGGTATAAATAGCTGGCGATAAATTAGCAACTTGCCGAAATAGGGCGAAACCTTTTGCAAAAATCATGAAACCAGTTTTCAAATCAATTCCGTTTTGAAATAAGAAAAAAATACAGATTTTGTTTTAGAGCATAAGTATTTCTGAAGAATTTGAATATTTTGATGTAGATTGCAGAGATAAAATAAATTTTATTTAATTATCTTATGATCTATTTCCAGGAAGAAAAATATAAACTTGCAGCCAGCTTGCAACAATTATTTGTTGTACTTAATAAAATAATTAGTGGCAAAGTATTTATTAATTTTTCTCTTTGATGTTGTTGATTTTATAATAAAGAATTGAAATGAATTGCTTAGATAATTTTTGGACTGTTAATATTGCATCGTTGGTAACTGGGATGAAGAATTTTTCAAAATTTTATGGTGCGAGTTCTGGCAAAAATATGGAAAAGGATTATTCAGATATTGGAAGACAAAAAATTGTTCAGATTGATCTGCTGCTCAAAAATATGATGAAATTGATTTCATGGATTCCAATGGAAAATAAAGGGCCTGAGGAATTCCTGTCGAGTATGTAAATTGTGCTGGTTTTATAAACTGAGTTTTTATATATTTGTTAATATCATTTTTCATTTTTCAAAGCCAGTGTATGAATAAAACCGTGGGATTATATACATACTATTGCAATTTTCAATTTTAATATTGAAATGTCGATTCGTCGTTCTGGGATTGGATGCAAAATTCAGTAGCATCAGCAAACAGAGGAGATCGACCGTCGGCTGGATTAACCGCCCTCACGCTGCAAGAGATATATAATGCGGAAGCGTAGTTTTTTTTTGCAGGCCGTCCGGTTTTTTGTGTTTCGCGAATAAAAAGCTTCAGAAATAATTTGAAAAGCAGCTGAACGCAACGGTCGCTTTTCCCAGAACGGCGCTGCACAAAAGCAAACGGACAAAATTGCCCGACGAGGAAACAATGAAAGTTTGAATATTTGATGCGCCACTTGTTCCCATCCATGTACGGCCTGCGGCGCGTTAAAGCTGACCGTCTCCGAGTACGTACGTCGACTTGGAAAATGCATGAAAAATTCAGCCCGCTATTTATGGCGGGCAGTAAAAATGAATGCAGGCCGAGCATAAATCTGGGGATTGCAGCCACTTTTGCAGAGGGAGGATGAAAAAGAAACGCCTTTGCGACCTCGACTGGATATATTTCGAGATGAATGGCTTTTAATTTCCTAATATGTTCCAGCTCTATATATTTCTGGCGCATTCCGAATGAGCCACATCAATCATGAACACGCTGCACACTCAGCTGCTCGTCAAGGCATTCAATCAGGGCAGATTTCGGCCTGAATATTTCATCTGGCGCGCGCGAGATAAAGGCGCGAAAGGTAATAAATCTCGTCCCCGGCGCTCTCAAAGATGTGCTGCTGCTTTTCGGTGGATAGATAGCATCTCGCGAGAGAGCGAACGAGCACTGGAATGACTCATAAAAGTTAATTTATTGCTGATATCAGAGTTGGATTGTGAAATGGAAAAGGTCAAATCGGAAATTCTGAGAGGAGCGCCTATCTTATCCAGCGCTGATTTCCTTTTCACCAAGCTACTGCACATTCAGTATGTAGTGTATTAAAACACATTGTAGTTTAGAAGTTAAACCTTATTTTTGCTGAATGTTGCATTATAAGATTAAAGACTATTATTAAAATTATTTTGAACAGACTGCTGAAAAAATCCATTGAAAAATTTAGGCTCATACTCTGTGATTTTTTGTCAATTTTGAAATTATGAGTACTTATTTCTAAAAGAAAAAATTAATTAATGTATAACATTCATTTAATTATTCCTTCAAAATTCAATCGATGAATTAAAAAATTATAAGACTCACAGTTAATCGAGAAACGTTCTTGCCTATAAAAAAAGAAAAATTAAAATGGAGCTCACAATCACAATCAGCGTGAACTTTATTTATCTTTTTAATGAATTATTTAACTATAGATTAAAGCCTTTTCAAACCTTCATTTGAAAGTAAATCCTTTGAAGGTGTAATTGGATCAGATGTGAATGACATGCCATGCCCTAGTCTGGTGTAAAATGCAATTTTCCGAGCTCTTAGGATTGCACTGGATTTTATTAGCTCTTTCGCGTAGAGCCAATTTGGTCTCTCGCATGCATCAGCTGCAATTTTCCGCCGCTAGAAAGTAGAATAAATAACGACTCTCTCGCGCTGTCTGTCTGTTTCGCCAAAATGTTTTCACTCTGGCTGCACTGCTTTCAGCGAGTGCGTTGAGGGCGAGAGATAGGCGCAGACAAAGCGAAAGGGAAACTCGCTCTCTCTGGGGTGTGCAGCCCCATTGTTGGAGGCGAAAGCGGTGGCGCCGGATTTGCAAATAAACACCAGGCGCCGCCGCCACCGCGAGAAAATAATTGTGTTGTTCAGGTTAATTGCCAGCAGCCGACACACACAAAGGCCTTAATTAAAGGGCTGTGCGCTTTTTACCGCCAACAACAAAGCGTAATTTCGGCGAAGAAAAGCCGCACATTAGAATTCCCAGGCGATCAAAAATAATTTGAGAAAAAAACCTGGGTTTTGTTTCGCCGGAGCTTGTTTTTCACAAGGCGTACGAATTTCCAATCGAGGAATCTCCGGCGGAAAGCCGGATCATCCGCCCTGTGAATAAAACAGGGGCTCAATAGAGGCCGCAAAAATCTGCGCGTGAATGCGCGCCTCCGGTCGACGGACGGACGGGCATTCTCCACGGAACCAGACTCTGCCGGCGGCTGGGCTTTTATTTAATAAATAACCTGCCGCAGCCCTGCCTGGGTTATGCATGAAATTTTCGTCTCGCTTAAGAGGAAAATTGTGTTGCTGCAAATAATGCAATTCTCTTTCGCCACCGAAAAGTAATGCCAGTTAAAGTCGCAAACCAAAGGTTTTTCTCAGAATTTTTTTCCTGGAATTTAGTTTGTTTTTGGAAGGGTCCTTTTTTGCTTGAAGTGTCAAAACACTAAAATAGGTTGCATATTATTTACAGGAAAGAGGAAGAAAAATAAAAATGACTAGCTTTAACTTTAAGGATATTATTAAAAATCAGTTCTGGCCACGGTCTATGGTTTTATTTCACGCTATAGGTGATGAAAAAAAAAATAAGAAACAATATAGTTTTATTTATTTAAAATATTTCTCATTTCTTTCTTCAAAACAATATTTTATTTTTTATCATTGATTTTCAGAAAATTCTTCAATGTAAAAATGAATTTATTGTTTCATTCCCATTACCATTTAACAGCGACAAATCAATTTTGAACAAAAATCAATTGAAAAATGTGACATAAAAGCAATCCAAAGTTATCAATAATGATTTATTCATTCCAACTCGCAAATTTTTTTGTTCTGAAGGATTTTTTGCTAATTACTGCAGAAACCAACTAACTCAGAGTTGCAAGAATGGAAATAATAATTTGGTTTGAACGGCATTTTTGTTTATCGCAATCGAGAATAATTATCAAAGTACCTCGGGGGGCCTCAAAACTTCCAGGAATGAGACAATAACGCAAAAATCAACCAAAGACAAAGCTAACAAATTTAACTTGGGCCATTGTGTCGCGCCTTTGCTCAATATTTGCAAAGTTCTCTAATTAATTACGGCCGAGGCGGCAGCCGATGAGGCAAAACGGCCGGTGCTAATCACATTAGCACCCGGGCTGCTTCAGAGCACGGATGGTCTTTGTCCGCAAACGGGCCCATTGTTGAGGCTGGCGATCCGACGCCGATTTTCCTGGCTAGCTCTGTTTACCCTGTCTGTGAGCTCTTTCTCTCTTTTTGTCCGACAACTCCACTAATGGCGCCTGACGGGTGAAATATGGTCGGCCCAGTCACGTGATAATTGCTTCTGCATGACTGTGCCGTTTTTAATTAGCCTCATTTATATCACCTTGTTCGTGCGCTGCGGCCGTAGTAAACAGCGTGTGCGCGCCGCCGACTGCTATATTTACCGTGGAGAACCGTCTCTCGTTCCGGCAAACAAACTGCGCGTGTGATGCCGGTTGCAGAAGTTGCTCACTCGGCCGGTCGTTATTAACGCCAGCTTTTTTTGCATCCGGGTGCAAACTGCTCACACTTGCCCGCCGTTTAATTTTGAATGAATCTGTTTGAAGTTGCGAAAGTGGTGGAAGAAGAACTTTTTGCACCCTTATGAAGTTACGAAGATACACAAAAAATGCGTAATTAGACTGGTGATAAATATGTTTTTGCTCTTTCTTAATCTGGTCTCATATTTATGCAATGGATCTTTGCGGATTACGTCATTCTGATTCAAATATGTGAGATTCAAAATTGATTAAGAAGAAAAAAAAACATTTTTGCTGTCATCTTGTTCTTGCTTGGTAGCATTTATTGTAAATTTGTGGCCTTTTTGAGCCCATTTTTCATTAATTTTAATTTTAAACTTTATTTGCTATTGGAAAATATGCATAATTTTACAAAAAAATTTCAATTCTATATTCTTTTTACATTGTAAATCTATCAAATAATTATTTTAAGAGCATAAAAATTACACTGGATAAAAAATAGCAAAAATTCACTTAACATTTTAATGAACTGGTGGGCATTTTTCTATTTGAGGGCTAGTTTTCTCACATAAATAAATATATTGCTTTTTTTCTTTTTCAAAATAGAAGGTTTCAATATCAGAAAACTAGGAAAGATTTATTTGGCCAGCAGTAATTTATTTTTATTGAAAATTTTACTATT